ATAATTTAGTGAGACCCTGTCTGGGATGTAATTTAGTGAAATAGTCCTTGAGTTCAATCCCCAGTACTACAAAAATAAATTTGTGTGTGTGTGTGTGTTTGTCTCACTATGCAGTTCAGGCTGGCCTCGAGCTCACTTTGTAAGCCCAGGCTGGTCTCAAACTCACAGTGATTCTCCTGCCTCAGCTGCCAAGTGCTGGCATTACAGCCGTGTGCCACCATGCCTAGCAGTAACTGAGTTTTGATTGGAATAAGGCAAAACTCCCATTTGAGTACAGGATCTGGTATGGGAATTGAAAAAGCCCTTTCTTTGTTGCATCCCGAGGGTATTTATCTTACAGAACAAGATGGGAAATTAAAAACGATGTGAAAAACAACAAAGTGAATTCTGTATATACAAACACATATATGCATGCGAATTATTTCTCCTCCCATAAACTCACAAAACAATTTAATACTTCTCTATGCATTTCTAAAACAATGGCTGAAAATGTACTGTGATCTAGAAATAAGCAACAAGGGATTGGCATCAGAGGTCTCCCTGAAGAGCCGATAAGCCTGGGGTGGCGGGGCCTGGCTGTAACCTCAACACTCAACTGAGGCAGGAGGATCTGAGTTTAAGGCCAGCCTGGACTACATGACGAGTTGGTCTCAAAGAATGAAACTAAAAAGTGAGTTACTTAAGATTTTATGTTATTTGGTTAATTTCTCCCTTCACTTAAGAAATCACTACTTTTAAATAAAGCACACCTGTAGCATAGAAAAACTACATACTCTTGTGAAGAAAAAGTGCCAGCCCACAGTAGCCTCTACTTTTTCATATAAATGCAATTGCTATTTGTAAGAGGAGGAATTAAACTACTCAGGTATATAGACTTCCCTACACTTGAATTTTCTCATGTTCACAAAACAAGAAAGACAAATCACCGTGCAAAACAGTATTAGCAACTTTCAGCCACAGCATCAAAATAGGAAGTTAGCCAGCAGACACTTTGCAGCCAAGCTAGGCCCTACACACCAAAAAAACCGATTTTGTACAAAGAAAAATGTTTTGCTTTTTATTTATTTTTTAAAAAAGGCTGTAACTGGCAAAATGTTTTTCCTCAATGCTTGTCCCAAAGTTCATTGTTGTAACTTCCTTTTCCAGATGCCTACTGCATTATCAAATTGAATACAAACATTCATTAATGCAAATGTGCTTCCAGTTCTGAGTGGTGGATGGACATTCTTTCCAATCTTATTTTCTTCTACTTTTCAGAAACATTTCCCAGTCTCCACTTTTTGCAAAGGTTTCAAAAGCTGAACCTAACTTTTGGTTTGATTTTGTGTATACTGGAGGGAGCACATTCCCCAGAGTAAATCACATCACTAACAGTCAATAGTATTTCCTGTCTCTTTTGCTCCATGCTTTTAACATCAACTTCAAAACGGCATCTATTAAAGTCTCTAGCCGGGCATGGTAGCACACGCCAGTAATCCATGGTGGTGCCACTGCAGCACTTGGGAGGCCACAGAGTGAGTTCAAGGCCAGCCTGAACTACACAGTGAGAACTTGTCTCAAAAGCCAAACAAAACCCCTAAACCCTAAAACACAGCTAGTTTTGATCATCTGTATTACATGTGTAGCACTTACAAGCATGGACTTTGAAATTCTTGCTCTGCTACTTGTTGTGTGACCTTAAGCAAATCATTTCACCATGTTAAATTATAGTTTCCTCAACTGGTGAAAGAGCTAGCACCTTTCCTCCCATGGAACTGGCTAGGAGGACTAATGAGATGATTTACAAGTACTAAGCACAGAACAAGCCCAATAAAAATTAGCCACATACAACATGTCTATCAGTATCTTTGATGAAGTACAATAAAACTACTTTAAAATTTGTTCCCTGCCTTTGAAGCTCTCTAAGGGTCTACGCTAAAATTAAAATTCTGCTTGGTAAAGGGAACCAAGGACTTACTTGGGAACACAACTTTTCCAGAAGGAACTAATCATTCCATTGACATTGTAATCACAAATACATTCAAATCAAAAGCTTAATTTCCTAAGTTACAAATCTGTATGAATCATGTACAGTGCGATTTAATAAATTTCACATAATTTACTTTTGAAAATTTTGACTCTCTTTTACTCAGTCCAAATCAGTACATGCATCTGTCTGAAACCGAATAACGCAACATCTGCATTTCAGGATTAAACGTAATAAAAGTTATAGCCAGCCACCGTACACATGGCTTTAATCCCAGGACTCTGGGAAGCTGAGGAGGCTGAAAGTTCAGTTCTGCTTGGGCAATTTAGCGACTGAGACCGTCTCAGGAAACGGGAAGAGGTGCAGAGATGTAGCTCAGAGTGAAAGTTTAATTCCCAGCACCACACCAAAAAAAGGAATTTGCTGTGAGGGCCCTGGGAGAGATGAGCTGGCCTGCTTTGTGCTGATGGGACAGCCAGTCTGAGAGGCCTGGGAGGGGCTGGGCTGCTCCTCACACCCTCCCTGGGGTTTTAAAACAGTTAACCACATACACTAATGCCCTCCTCTTCCCTCAATTTTCTTTTCTTTTTTTTTTTTTGAGACAGGGTCTTGCTCTGTAATTCAGAGTGGACTTGAACTGACTATCTAGGCTGGCCTTGAATGGGCAGCAATGCTCCTGCCTCAGCCTCCCCAATGCTCAGATTATAGGCCGCCCCTTGTTTTTATTAAGGTGGTGTAGAAGCTACTGGACTCTCTTAGTCTTGGGGATTGAACCAAGGCATTAATATGGAGTTATAGTGCCCCCCCCCCTTTTTGAGACAGAGTCCTGTGAAGCCACTAAACTGCCCAGGTTGGGCTCAAATTTGTGATCCTCAGGGCTGGGGATTTAGCTCAGCGGCATAAGCACCTGCCTTGCAAGCAGGCGGTCGTGAGTTCGATCCCCGGTACCGATAAAAAAGAAAAAGAAAAAAAAAAAAAAAATTTGTGATCCTCCTGCCTCAGCCTCACAAAGTGTTGGGAGTACAGGTGTGCACCACTGTGCCCAATTTGATATAGCTCTTTACAGTAACACTGTCCTGAATATCTACTAGTCAAAATAACTTTTTTTTTTTTTGTCTTTTTATTGGTACCAGGGATCGAACTCACGACTGCCTGCTTCCAAGGCAGGCGCTTATGCCGCTGAGCTAAATCCCCAGCCCCTCAAAATAACTTTTTTTCTTGAGATGGTCTCACCATGTAGTCCACACTGGCCTTGAACTTGAGGCAATACTCCTAACTCAGCCTCCCAAATGCTGAGATTACAGGCATGAGCCGCTATCCCTCGCTTCAAAATAATTTTTTTAAGCAAAAAGAATGATGAATGTATGCTCTTTTACAAATCCTAATGTGAACTGTGAAACTGGAGGCTATTTAAACATTGGTTTCTGATCAGTGTTATATGTAATTTTTGCTAATAAGAATTAAAACAATTTTAAAAGCTATGACAGTTATCTTTTTAAAATTTCATACACTATGTTTACTGTCTATTGTTCACTACTTAAGAAATCAACTATTTCCATTCTGTATGGAAAAATAGCGACCTGATAAATTTTAAAAGACCTAATTATGCAGTTATGGTTATGATTTTTTTCTGGCAGAGTAAAGTGGAACTACATTATATCTGTGTTGCTTTATAATGGTTCACAAAATCCCTATTTTTTAAATGTATACATGTTAATTTCAAAGGTCATGAGATTTGACCCACAGGTATCCAAACTGACACAATTAAGGATACTATGAAGAACAGGGGTAACAAACTGTGTATCACATTTCCTAAGAAGCAGATTAAACCGGACAAAAAATTCACTACATTTACTGCATTAAATGTTTTTTAGTTATGTAAGGTAACCAGCATCCAAATTTCATAATTAATATTTCAGCTGAGACAATAAACTATCTAAAAGGGGCTTCTAAAATCTATCCAGTGGGGGGCTGGGGATTTAGCTCAGCGGCATAAGCGCCTGCCTTACAAGCAGTCAGTCGTGAGTTCGATCCCTGGTACCGATAAAAACGAAAAAGACCAAAAACAAAAAACAAAAAACAAAAAACTAAAATCTATCCAGTGAATTTTTTTTTTGGGGGGGGGGTCTTTTTGAGACAGGGTCTCACTATGCAGTTCAGGCTGGCCTTGGGCTCACTTTGTAACCCAGACTGGTCTCGAACTTGCAAACAATTCTCCTGCCTCAGCTTCCCGAATGCTGGGATTACAGGAGTGTGCCACCATGCCCAGCTTCTATCCAGTGATTTTAATTACCTTTTTTTCCCTTCTTAAAAAAATAAGGTTTTCTGACTTGCACGTAAGGTCTGTTATAACAGCACAAACGGAATAGTGCTTTATTTAAACAAATGAAGTATACAGCGCTCTTTGATTCTTGGCAGTGGCTATCCTTAACAAACTCTGGAGTTCATCCTCATTGGGTGATCAAAAAAGAATAAAAGAAAAAAAGGCATAGTTTCATCTTTAAGACAAGCAGTCTTAATTGCCAAAAGCTGACTTATCTGTTCAATGTTTTAGACAATCTAGAGCTACCCTAGCTCTGGGAACAAACCCCACATTACAATATGTGCTCTAGCTGGGAGGCATTTTTGCAGGTCAGTGGAAGCACACTTTTACATCACTGTTCCAAAGCCATTGACGCTCTAAATCAGTTTTGTAGGTGCAGAGAAATTAAATGCACTCTGGGGTTAGGGTGTTTTTTGAGCCACAATTCTATACGCTCCAAATTCTGCAGGCAAGTTTTATAGTTTTAAAGAAATATCCAAACTACATTTAATCCTTATGCTACATTAAATGTTCTGCCCAGGCCCATTTTATTTAACCTTTTAAGGAACGCACTGGCAGCTGCTGAACAGAAAGGACTGCCTTGTAATTAGCTTTTATTTTAAGGGATGTAGGGGTGTATACTGTAGAAGAATTGTGCCTCATATCCCCAGTTACAGCCTCTTTCTCAACATTTTTCTTTTATTAATATGTTAAAAAAAGTTACAAACTTGCCTTGTGAGGTCGAAAATATAGATACAGGCTGAGAGGAATAGGAAGAAACAAAGGAATCTGAAAGAAAATAACAGCATGAGAATTTCACAATCTCTTGCAGGAATTTTAATTCCAACTTTTTTTTCCAGGACAGAGAAATGAGGACTTAGCAAAGAGGAAAAACCCAATCCTTATTTCTGGTTAATGTTTTCACTCACCTGCCTCTGAAACCTCATCTTGAAGATGCCTTAAAAGTTAACCAATTCAACCTTCATCAGAGAAATATTACCAAGGAACCCCTAGCATTGCGGGAAGACCATAACCCCAACAGACAACACTGCTCTGCTGTGTTTTGTAAGAAAAGGAAAGTAGGTATCTGATTACATTATTTAATTATGTCCAACTGCCCTTTGAAGCATTACCCACTAATACGAGCATTTAAAAATAGTTAATTGGCAAATATGCAACAGCAACATTGACCCTCAAAACTTAAAAAAGAAATCACAATCCATTAGGAAAACAAGACCACATGAAAAATCTTTCATCTTCTAAAATTATATTCCTTTAGTTTTAAACATGTATCAACATACAAAGTGCTCATATCCAGACTGGAGATATGGCTCAGCAGGAGAGCACCTGTAGGTTTGATTTCCCGTGCTGCTGCAAAAACAAAAACACTGACTTTTTATAGGAAATAAATAAATAATGTATATGAGAATATTCCTAAGAGCACTGGTTATAAATACTAGAAATAATCTAAATGATCACCAATAAAAAACTAATTGGTACTGAGCTACATCTCAAATCCTTATTTATTCTAAGACAGGGTCTTGCAGAAATCATTAAACTGACCAGGTGAGTTTCAATTTGGAATTCTCCTATTTCAGCCTTCTTCATTTCTGGCTCAATAAAATCTTTGGTCATTAAAAAACATCACCTTTCCAAACTGCCATGGGGATACATGCCTATAATCCTAGCTACCCTGCAGCCTGAGGAATGACCCTCAAGTTCAAGGTGAGCCTGTGCAATTAGTGAGACACCGTCTCAAAATAAAAACTGCCAGGCATAGTGTCTCAAGTCTGGCCCTTGGAGGCTAATGCAAGAGGATACCGCAAGTTTGAGGCTATAGTGAGTTCTAGTGTGGTCCAGACCCTCCTAAACCACAATGAGACTCTCAAAACAGTCGGAGTTGATGCTGGGGGAAAGGAGAGGGGCTGGGATGGAGCTCATTGATAAAGAGTAACCCTGAGCTCAATTCCTAGCAGGAGGCAGGAGGCGTGAAGATAAATATGTAATGAAAACAGCCATATGGAAAACAAAACCATACAAAAGTGCCCCTAAATATAGGGAACTTTTTACATTAACTACTTTTTCCTTGTTTCTACAGGTATTAGAAATAAACTTAAAACTAGAGGATTATTTTTAAAAAACTGGATCATAGGTACATCTGTAAGAATTAATTTAGGGGAGCCGGGAATTTAGCTCAGTGGCATAAGTGCCTGCCTGGCAAGCATGAGGTTATGAGTTCGATCCCTGGCACAAACAATGTATCTATATCTGTATCTATCTATCTATCTATCTATCTATCTAGACACAGCACTAGAATTTAATGGCTTCAGATAGCAAATCACTAAGATTGGAATTTAAAAATTCACTGCTTTTGAGTTATCTTAAAATGAACCAAATAAGATTTACTCTTTTTTTTTTTTTGGAACATAGGATCTCACTATATAACTGAGGGTGGCCTTGAACTCACTATGTAGCCCAGTCCAACTCATGACAGCGATCCTCCTGCCTCACCTCCTATGTGCATTAGAAGTGTGCACCACCACACCTGGCAAACTGTCAACTTTATCCATAGCATCCACTCTGATAAAGAACACAGATAACCAATGGTTTGCAAACAAACAAAAAACACCCACAACACTGCACAAGGTTTCCAGTTCATAAAACGAGTTTACTTATTTATTTTTTGTTTTCTTGAGATAATGACTTGCTTATATGGTTCAGGCTGGCCCAGCTATGTGGCCCAGCTTGGCTCTGAAATTGCCGCCATCGTCCCAGGAAACACTCAGCTTTCTGAGTGCTGGGATTACAGGTGTGTACCACTAAAACTGTGTTTCTACTCCATATTTAAACTATAGGGGAGCCAACTCCAGAATGGTGATCTTAATCCTTTCACACTTACTATGAAATCCTTTTCTGTCAGTAGCAAGGTATAGCCATAAAGGGAAGACTACAACCTAAGCAGCAGCTAGAGGGAGGGAGAGGGAGAGTTGAAGGAAAATGTGTAAGAATGTAAGTGACAAGGGGCTGGGGATTTAGCTCAGTGGCGTAAGCACCTGCCTTGCAAGCAGGCAGTTGTGAGTTTGATCCCTGGTACTGATAAAAATGAAAAAGACCAAAAAAAAAAAAAAAAAAAAAAAAAAGAATGTAAGTGACAAGTATACTTACAGAAAGGAAAGAGTAAGTAGAAGGAAAAAAATCTTAAGATACATAAAAAGAAACTGCTGGAACAAAGCACAAGAATTTACTAAAGACAAGGATATAAAACAGCGTATACTATAAAGCTACTGTGATAAAAATAGTGTGGTACTGGCAAAAAAAAAAAAAAAAAAAAAAAAGACCTGAAGATCCATGGAATAGATTAGAAGATGCAGAAACAATGGCAGACACACTAAGCTACCTTATCTTTGACAAAGGTGCCAAACACATTCACTGGAAGAAAGATAAGACTATTTATTTATTTAGGAAATGGGGATCAAACTCACAACCTTGTCCTTGCCAAGCAGGTGCTTAAGCCACTGAGCTAAATTCCCAGCCCATGACACCCTCTTTAATAAATGGTGTTGGAAAAACTGGCTTTCCACATGGTGAAGATTAAAACTGGGCCCATATCTTTTACCATGTACTAAATTAAAATCAGAATGGATTAAAGATCTTAATATTAAAACAGAAACATTCAATTTGCTGGAAGATAGAGTAGGTAAAACTCTTGAACAAGACACTGGTGTAGGCAAAGACTTTATGAATAGAACCCAGACTGCACAGGAACTGTCACAAGGAATCAATAAATGGAATCTTGTCCTACTGAAAAGCTTTTGCACCGCAAGAGAAACTATCAGCAGAGTAAAGACACAACCCACAATGTGAGAGAAAATATTTACCAGTTGTTCCTCAGATACAGGATTACTATTGAGAACATATAAAAAAAACTCAAAAAAAAATTTCAATCCTCCTAGATTCAAAGGCCCAATCCAAAAATGGGGATCTGAGATGAACACACACTTCTCAGATGAAGAAGTACAAACAGCAAATAAATACGTGAAAAATGTCCAACAGGGGCTGGGAAGTTAGCTTGCCTTGCAAGCGCATGGTCATGAGCTTGATCCTTGGTACCGATTAAAAAAAAAAAAGAAAAAGAAAAAGAAAAATGTCTAACAGCCCTGGTTATTCAAGAGATGCAAATTAAAACCACACTAAGATTTCACCTCACCGCAGACAAAATAGGTAATATTAAGAAATCAACCAGTGTTGGGTGTGGTGGCTCATGCCAGCACTCAGGAGGCTGAGGTGGGAGGATTGTTGCGAGTTCGAGACCAGCCTGGGCTACAAAGTCAGCTTAAGGCCAGCCTGAATTGCATAGCAAGACCCCATCTCAAAAAAGAAAAAAAAAAAAAAAAAAAAAAAAAAAGAACTCAACCAATAACAAACGCTGCAGGAGCTGGGAGGAAAAGGAACCCTTCTCGTGGGAATGCAGATTAGTGAAACCACTGTGGAAATTGGTGTAGAGTTTCCTCAAAAAACTAGGATTAGAGGTCCCATTTGACCCAGCTATTCCCCTTCTGAGTATCTTTCCAAAAGAATAAAAAACATGATACGTGCACCCATGTTTATAGCAGCACAGTTTATAATAGCCAGATCTCGGAAACAACCTAAATGCCTATCAGCTGAAGCATAGATAAAAAAGATGTGGCATTGCTATACAATGGAGTACTATTCAGCCATAAAGAATGATAAACTGGACACTTTTATAGGTAACTGGTTGTGCCTTGAGAACATATTTATTAGAACACACTTATAAAGACATGCATGTGTAAATATTGTATTGTTTCATTAGTGTGACAAGCTGAAAAACATGTATATGTGTATGTAAATGTATATAAACATAGTCAAGATAGTTAAAAAAAAAGCAGCAGCATGGCCTCCTCGTCATGTACATGGCCCGTTCAGAAGCAGATTCAATGTCTCCCTTCACTGAACACCTCTCTAGGTTCTGCCTTCCCTTCTACACCTCGTCCTCGTCTTTTTGTCCCAGAGAGAATGACTCAGCAAAAGCAAGGACTCGGTCACACTGGCCTTTACTGTATCCCCTGTGAGCCATTTTGAGCTGACTTTTGGATGTCCTAAGAAATTTTTGATGTGGGTTTGGGTTTTTTGCATGTGGATATCCAGTTGTTCCAGTATATTTATTGAAGGTAGAATTCTTTCTCCACTTAATTGCTTTTGCATCTTTCCCAGAAATCAGTTGTCTGTCATGTGGGTGTCTATTTTGGGACTTCATATTGGTACCTTGGTGGTTTGTCTGTCTCGGTCTCAATGCCGTTTTGGCATGATTGATATAACTCTGTGATAAGCCGTGGGACTGGGTTGGGTTGGAGCTCTAATTTTGTTCCTTTATCAAAGTTGTTTAGACAATTTTGAGTCTTTTGTATTTCTACAGAAATGTAAGAATCAAAGTGTTAATTTTTATGAAAAATGATGGTAGCATTTTGATAAGGGATTGTGTTTTATGATCATTATTATTTTCTTCTATTTGTTTTTGGTTTTATTCTTTTATTTTTAATTTCTTGAGGAAAAATGTGAGGATATTTCATAACTTTCTTCTTTTCTAATAAATGTACTTGGTATTTTTAAAAAAGCATAAATTTGGGCTGGATATGTAGTTCTTGTCTTGTATCTACAAGGCCTTGGGTTTGAGCCCTAGCACTACACACACACACATACACACACACACACACACACACACACGAGTGAACCTAATATTCTAGTTCCAGCTGCCAGGCGCAGTGGTGCACACCTATTATCCCAGCATCTGGGAGGCTGAGACAGGTGGACTGCTGCAAGTTCAAGGCCAACCTGGGCTATACAGTGAGTTCAAGGCCAGCCTCCTGAACTATTTGATAAGACTATCTCAAACAGACAGGCAAGCCCCTCCTCAAAATAATAAAAATCTAGTTCCAGTAAATAACCAGTCAATTCTGCAAATACATTTGTAAATTTTTCAACCCATCTGTAGTCCCAGCAGGAGGTTGAGGCAAAAGTATCTTAAGTGTGAGCCTAGCCTGGGCAACTTAGTGAGATCCTGTCTTAAGAAAGAGAAAAGCATGTAGGCAGGGAATATAACTCACTACAAAAGCCCTGGGTTCAATCACCAGTATTGTGGGTGAGGAAAAAAAGAATCAACAAATGGAACTGGAACTACATCAAACTAAAAAGCTTCTGCATACCAAGGGAAATAATGGAGACAGTGTACAGGATGGGAGAAAACCTTTGCCAGTTGTTATTCTGACAGACAATTAAAACCAAGAATATACAAAGAATTAAAAATAATTCACTCAATAAATGGGCAAATGAACTGAATAGACACTTCTCAAAAGTAACACACAAGTCTATTATTACATGAAAAATGTTCAATATCTTTAGCTATCAGGAAAATACAAATCAAAATTACATTGAGATTCCATCTCACGCTAGTGAGAATGGCTATCATCCCAAATATGAAAAACAGTAAATGTTGGCATAGATGCAGAGGAAAAAAGAGCCCTTGGGCACTGCTGATAGAACATAAATTAGCACTGCCAATGAAAATCAGTATGGAGACTCCTTGAAAAATTTAAAGTAGGCTACCATACCTCTCAGTATACCTCTCAATATACGCCCAAAGAAATTAAAGTAGTTCAACCATCAAGGTACTTGTTTATCCGTATTTATCATGACTCGGTGAACAACCACCAAGTTTCGGAAGCAGTCGAGGTGCCCCTCAACAGATACAAGGACATGAAAAGGTCTATACACACACTATGTGTATCATTCAACCATAAGGAACAAAGTCTTATCATTTGCAGGAAAATGGAAGGAACCAAAGATCATCACGTTAAGTGAAGTAAGATAGAAGGGAGATTATTAGAGAAGTGGAAGGGTACTGGGGAGAACGGGGTAGAGGTAAGAGAGGGTAATAGAGGGTGAATACAATCAAATTCATTACTCTGTGTAACCAATAAGCACTAAGAAAAAATAGAGCCATAAAAATAAAAATTCACCTCTTAAAAAATAGGGCTTTCATAAAGAGTAAAATAAAAGGTAACAGAAAATAGGGATCTTTTGCAAATGGGAAGAAGCCAGAAGGAGGAAAAGAGAAGGTGACATTAAAAGAATTAAGTTGTCACATACATGTACCAAATCTTCATGATGAATACAATCACATACTGCAAACATGCATTAAAAATAAATAAAAACTTTAATTTACTGAACACTGGACATGTGTGACAGACACTGAGATTAAGTACTTTATGTGTGTGTAAAAATCAAATTATATGAAAATCCTAATGAACAAGTGGGTATAAACAATGATCTCCAAATTTTACACAAAGAAAACTGACGCTTGTATGTGTCAGAATCAAGATTTAAAATCAAGCTTTCCCTGAAAGCCTGTCCTTTTTCTCCTGTGCCACCCTATCACTCACATCACCTGTCACTACTGCCAATATGAGACGCACATGCTATTCACCAGACAATTTACCAGTCACATTTACGCTCTCAAGCCCCACTGTAAGCTCCCTTGACTCTCCACCCTTCTCTCAAGCAGCATGCAGAGCAAGCAGCAGAGGAGAAGGCCGCTGTTGCTACAGGTGTTCAAATCTGGGTCAAACTGTGCTACATACTTTGGGGGCAAGGAGCAGAAGCTTTGGGCTGGATGTCAATTTCAAATTTTTATTCAAATCAAAGGAAAAATATACCAACAACTATCTGAATTTTCTAACCTCCGATAAGTGTTATTTTAATGAATTGTTCATTCTGGTGATAACTCCCTCTCTTTTTTTTTTTTAATCGATACCGGCACGACTGCCTGCTTGCAAAGCAGGCGCTTATGCCGCTGAGCTAAATCCCCAGCCCTGATATCTCCTTTAACACCAGCAGAATTCAAGTTTTTGGACCGGAGCAAGTTAAGCTCAGGAACTCTGTACAATGACTGCTACATTTAACCACAAAGCTTTGTGTTGGTCTCCTTAGATTATCCAAGCACCTTCCAGTACACAAGGAAAAACAAGAGTCTGAAATATTATCTACAATTAAAAATGAAAATTAGTAACTGATTCCCTGCTGGATGTGGTGGTACATACCCAGCTACTTCGGAGGCTGAGGCACAAGGAGTGAAAGTTTGATGCCAGCCTGGGCGACTCAGTGAGACCCTATCTCAAGACAAGAAATAAAAATTTAAAAAGCGGTGGATATATTTAGCTCAGTAGAATATTTCTGAGTTCAACTCCTAGTATCAGCAGAGAAAGAGAGACAGAGACTGAGAGGCAGACAGACTGAGGTCTGATTTGTGACATTTTTTCTAATATTAACATTAAGACCAATACTTTTTATAATTTATAATCTTTTTCTGCTTCATAACTAGTCCACAAAAATAGCAATCTTTCTGAATTTTTTATTCTTTTTTTAGTTTTGAGGCCAGGTTACCAAATTGCACAGGATTGGCTTCTCACTTGTAATCCTCCTGCCTCAGTCTATTGAGTACCGGGGGTTATAGGTGTGTGTTGGGAGCCGCAGCCCCGAGCCCGGTCGCCTCACTTGGCGGACGTGAGGCCTGTAGTAAAGAGTAAAGCCTGAGGTAGATTACCCCTCCCATCGAGCACGTTAGTTTCCTGCTTACCGCGTAAGCAACCCGCTCAACAATATAGTCTGCCTGGCAACTGATGATGTTAGCCAATCAGCTTGCCTTGCTTACTTTAACATGATTGGACACTGTATCCGTATATATACTGGTGCCACCCCTGGGGGGGAAGAAGAAGCCCGGAAGTAGAAGCCCAGAAGGAGCCGCGGGGAGCGGACCAAAGGAGGCTTCGGCTGGGAGCGATCCCAGGGCAGGCTGTACGGAGAAGGAAAATAAAAGAAAAGGTTGTCCACTGCCAGACTTTGTCGTGTGTCCTTCCTGCCGGCCAGGAGCGACATCGACATTTGGAGGCCCGCACGGGGACTGATCACCCCCGAGACGTGACAGCGGACAACGCTCCAGTACAGAGCTGCGAGACAGGTGAGTTGGGGATAAGCCTGGGCTCTGGGTGGCGCGCACCTACAGGGCTTTTAGACTCCCCTCAGGCTCACGCGTAAGTGGCGGATTCCTTGGGCCTCACGCGGTGAGTAACATATTAAAAGATGGGAAACATGCTAGGTAGCAACACTAAGAGCGAGGGTGGTTGTGGAGAAAGCTCTCAAGAGCTTACAAAAGTACGCAGGGTATTTGAGCAGGCCCAGTCGGGGAGCTCCCGAGAGGGGCCCGTCAAGGGGAACAAAGATGCTAAGGAGAAGGACGGGGCTCTAGCCTCGGAGTCGTCTGACTCCGAGGACGAGGGAAAGTTGAATGGCAAGGAGGCCAAAGAGACCAGCTGTCAGGAGCCTAAGTCGCTCGATAAGGAGTCGCAGGGTTCTTTCCCAGCGTTGCGCCGTGAATTGCGCTCCGCTCAACTTGGTCTGCGGAGGAGTAGAGAGCTCCTGAGCGCTCCCCGGCGCGAGAGGGAGGCGAAGCCTTCCGCCCCACCTTGGGGGGTGTTCCCGGAGGCGATCCCTCGCCGCGAGGCGGCCGCCCGGGAGCTCCCTTCCCCTTCGCCAGAACAGGAAGTGATGCACGGGCCCCCATTTTCCGCCCAATCACGGCCGCCGTCTTATGCTCCGCCGCCGGCGGGTCGGTATTTTTACAGGCGGCTTTGGCAGGGGGGACGTTTGTCTCATGAGGTACATCCACCACCTGGGATAGATAGTGACCCCTACGGGATATTTCCTGTACAAGTAGCTATGGGCCAGGGACGTAATGCATGGGAGCCTTTTGAGATAAAGCAGATTAGAGAACTTAAAAATGCAGTTACAACCTTTGGGCCGACTGCGCCTTACACCATTGCCATGCTGGAGAACCTGTCTTCTGGGCCCCTCACCCCCGCGGACTGGATTCAGCTGGCAAAGGCGTGTCTGCCCTCGGGTAGTTACCTGGATTGGCGAGCCTGGTACACAGAGTTCTCTGCCGAGCAGGCTGAGAAAAACGCCGGTCGAGGAAATGGGAGCTGGGGATTTAGCTTAGCGGCATAAGCGCCTGCCTTGTAAGCAGGCAATCGCCAGTTCGATCCCTGGTACCAATAAAAAAAAAAAAAAAAAAAAAAAAAACGAAAAAGATAAAAATAAAAAATAAAAAACAAAAAGGGGGAGTAAGCCAAGGCCTGCCTCCAAAGGCGCAGTTATCTATGGCATGACAATGGATGGGCCCGGATCCGGTAATCAGCTGGAACCGAGGCGCGGTTTGTGTTTTCCCACAGGAATCGGGACGAGAACCACTGTGGGTACCGGAGAGACTGACACGGGCGACAAAGCCCTCGACTGAAGATCAGACCTGCCCTACCGGAGATCCATCACAGACCAACCAACAAGATGAATAGAAATAGCGGTAGCCCAAAATGGACAAGAAGATCCTCAGGCATATGCATGGCTCGCTCGCCTAGCCTACGACCGAGTCTAGGGGTGGTGAGCTTCCCACACTCCTCCTCTAAAAAATTATGACATAGCTGGGTAGGAGAGTCAATGACGGGTAAGAGCGTACTCCCCCGGTGCGACTCAACCTAAGCCAGGCCCTACCCCATCCTGCACGTAAGCCGCTGGACTGTTAGATGCTGCCCAGGTCTAAATTTCTCTCCGAGGGGATTTCTTTACGGAGAGGAAATGAGTGCAAGCTTGTGTGCATCCAGGTTCCGTCCAGTTTGTGCCTGGCCCTAGAAAAAGGACGAGGGCCTCAGGGCCTTGGCAGACCATGGGACGGCCGACCAGGGTCTAAGCCAAGGACCTACGGTGGGCCTACGCATAGGGCATAAGCCTCTGCACCCAGTCCAGGAAGGGCTACGATGTGCACATTTATAAAAAAAAATAAAAAAGGGGGAGATGTTGGGAGCCGCAGCCCCGAGCCCGGTCGCCTCACTTGGCGGACGTGAGGCCTGTAGTAAAGAGTAAAGCCTGAGGTAGATTACCCCTCCCATCGAGCACGTTAGTTTCCTGCTTACCGCGTAAGCAACCCGCTCAACAATATAGTCTGCCTGGCAACTGATGATGTTAGCCAATCAGCTTGCCTTGCTTACTTTAACATGATTGGACACTGTATCCGTATATATACTGGTGCCACCCCTGGGGGGGAAGAAGAAGCCGGGAAGTAGAAGCCCAGAAGGAGCCGCGGGGAGCGGACCAAAGGAGGCTTCGGCTGGGAGCGATCCCAGGGCAGGCTGTACGGAGAAGGAAAATAAAAGAAAAGGTTGTCCACTGCCAGACTTTGTCGTGTGTCCTTCCTGCCGGCCAGGAGCGACATCGACAGGTGTGACTATCATGCTTGGCTTCAAATTCCTCCCTTTTTAAACACTGGCTCCCCCCCAAAAAAAAATTTTTTTTAGAACCATTTTAGACAGGCAGAGATGGAGCAGAGTATTGCTGTATATCTAGCACTCAGCTCCCTTCACTGCCATATGCCAATAATGTGGTACACTTGTCACAACTAACCGACCAATACTGATACACTATTAACAAACTTCATACTTTAGTCAGGTCTTATTTTTTTCCCTAATGCCCTTTTCATGTGCCAAGATAGAGCACGTTATATTTTATCATCACATCTTCCTTAGTTACTTCTGCTGCTTCCTTGTTTTTTAGGCTCCAATTATAGGCATGCACCACCATGCCCAGGTGCCTTAGCTGCTTCTGCACTGAAAGAATTTCTTAGACTTTCCTAGCTTTTGATGATTCCGACAATTTTGAGGAGCACAGAATGTTTTCCAACATTTCTGTCATTAGATTGAGGTGAGGGTTTATGGAGATGACCCCTGAAGTCAAAGGTCAAGCTCGCCATAACCTATCAATGTGTTGCTGATGTTAACCCTGTTCTCTGGCTGGGGTAGCTTTCAAAACCTTTCTCCAGGGAAGCATCCCCACTACCACCACACCCCTGAAACAAACCACATTACCCACTGACGGATGCAGCTCCAAGTCCTTATGAAGGAAGAAGCTATTTCAACTGGCAGTTTGACTCATTTACAGTTGATTTATTTACAGAAAACATAGCTATTTTAAAACAGACCCACTATTGAACCAATAAACCCACATATGATTTAATATGCAACGTAACAGCTGAGGCATAGCATGCCTGTGACCCCAGCTACTCCGGAAGCTAATGCAGGTGGGTTCCAGGCCAATCTGGACAATTTAGTGAGACCCTGTCTCAAAATATAAAGGGACAGGATATAGCCCAGCAAGATGATCAAGGACCGAGTTCAGTCCTCAGCCTTGAAATAAAAATCTAATTGAATAAAATATTCATTTATTGGCAGTAAGTAACATAAAAAGTTATAGTTTTCTTTGTACCACTTATTTGAAGTTAATATATATGTCACTTAAGAGGAAGAAAGATAGAACTCTTGTTGCAAAATAAAACTAGGAGGGGGCTGGGGATTTAGCTCGGTGGCATAAGCACCTGCCTTGCAAGCAGGCAGTCGTGAGTTGGATCCCCGGTACCAATAAAAAAGAAAAAGACAAAAATAAATAAATAAATAAATAAAACTAGGAAGTCTTACAGAAAAAAACCAAAATGGGTTCTACATGTGGGAAATGGTATTTTAACTTTTTTCCCCCCCCACACTGGAAATCAAACCCAGGGGTACTGTTCCACTGAATTATATCCTTAGCCCCTTTCAATTTTTATGTTGGGACAAGCTCCCAAATAGCTGGGACTCTGCTGGGGATTTAGCTCAGTGGCATAAGCACCTGCCTTGGAAGCAGGCAGTCATGAGTTCGATCCCCGGTACCGATAAAAAAAAAAAAAAAAAAACCAAATAGCTGGGACTGCAAGCATGTGTCACTCTGCCTGGCCAGTCCTTATCTTTTGATGGTGCTAGGAATGGATGCAGGGCTTTAACATGTGCTGTAACACTGAGCTACACCTCCAACCTCTTACCCTGTCCTGTCCCCATTTACTTCCAGGAATGTTTTCTCCTTTTCCAAATATGTTTAAGAGGTACCAAATCAAAATGTCCTACTCTGTTAAGAGCATGATGGAAATTAAACTTATTTTTAACATTTTAAAATCTTGACCTATCATATTAGCCTATTACTAAGTCCTTAGTGGAGGTGACTCTCTTTCCTGGATGAGAAAATGCAGCACACAAATCATTATGAAAGACACTTTCTATATTAAAGATGTTATCAGAAGCTGGGCAAATGGTTATGTCTGCAATGCCAGCTGCTTGGGAGTCTGAGGCAGGGGAATGGCAAGTTTGGAGAAATGAACAAAAAAGATGAGAAGCCAGCAGAGGGACTGGGGATGTACCCTTGGTGACTGAACCCTGTCACATGCAAGGGTTCAATTCTCAACCCTCAGCCCTGCAAAGATTCAGTAGAACCACCTATAGTCTAGAATAATAATAAAAAACCCCAACCTTAAACACATACATACTTATTACCAAGATAGTTTTTATGTCTCCTTATCACCTACCTAAGCATACACACCAATTTCTGTAGGGGTCTTAACGGAAATTATGAATCATAAACTTTCTGCAAAGTTTGTAGTTTCTCTCAAAAACCAAATGTTCTCAACCTGAGGTTTTTACCGTATTTTAAAAGTCATGAACACTGTGAAACCTTTGCTTATCCATGTTACTTTTCTGGGAAAAGTTTCTCCATTTATTCATTCATTCCCATAAATATTTACTGAACCCCTACTGTGAGCTAAGAATCTACTTTAAATGCTGAACAAACCCAATAAGGTCTTGCCTTGCCTTCATTCAAAAGTGTCTGTGGGTCTTACTTTGTGCTGGGTCCTATTCAGTTATTAGTGAGGTGAATAAAACAGCAACACTTGCCATTCTGATAGGACTGGAAGTCTAGTTCAAAAGACTGACAATAAACAGGTCAAATACAGTAAAACAGATTAAGATTAGCAGTAAGAAAACGTGCGGTGGTACATGCCTGTAATTCTAGCCCTTGGGTGGCTGAGGCAGGAGAACTGCCATGAGTTCAAGGCTAGCCTGGGCTACACAGTGAGTTTAAGACTAGCCTGAATTACAGAGTGAAATCTTGTCAAAAAACAAAACAAAACAAAACAAAACAAAACAAAACACCCCAGCAGTGTAAGATACCTGTTTCCTCTGGAGCTTAAATAGGGTGACCAGGCAAAGACCTAAAAGATGTTAAGGGGTAAACTGCATAGATAGATGGGTGTTGGTCTCTTTTGGTGGCTGTAACAAAATACCCTATTACTGAGTGGCTTATAAACAAAAGAAATCTGCCAGGTGCAGTGACACACATCTAATAAATCCCAGCTATTTGGCAGGCTGAAAAGGGAACTGCAAATTCAAAACCATCCTGGGCAATATAATGAGATCCTGTCCCAGGGTTCAATCCCCAGTATTACATAAAACAGCAGCAGCAGCAACAAAAAGAACTATTTTTCACAGATCTGGAGGCTGGGAAACCCAAGATCAAGGTGCAAGTCAGAGATTCAGTGTCTGGTAAAAACCTCTATCTGGTTCATAAAACAGTGCTGTCTACCTATGTTCTTACCCGGTGCAGTAAGTGAACTAGCTCTCTGGAGTCTCTATTATAAACACACTAATCCAGCGCATGCCTGTAATCCCAGCACTGGGGACGCTGAGGTAGGAGGATCACCATGAGTTCAAGGCCAGCCTAGACTACATAATAAGACTCTTTCTCATAAAAAAAGGAAAAAAAAAAGCACACTAATCCAAATTATGAGGGCTCCTTCCTCAAAATCTATTTCCCAAGGCTTCACCTCTTAATAACATTGCCTGGGGTTTAGGTTTTAACATATGAATTTTTGGGAGACATGTACCTCCTGTCCATTGTAATGGAGGAGGAGCACTCCACGTAAAGAGCAAATGCAATCCAGATACACAGATGGGGTGTATCTGGTATAAAGAACAAGGAAGCCAATGTAGCTGAAGTCAGGCGAGTAAGGGATAATCAGGGCCAGATATTGCAGGGCATAATAAGCGCTATATGGTTTTCAGCATTTACTTGGGGTATGACAGAAAGCCGCTGCAGCATTATGTGTGTGACATGATATGACTTTTATTTCACAGGCTTACACCAGCTGCTATGCAGAGAACAGACCAAGAAGAGGCAGAAAAGAAAGTACGAGGACCAGTTAAGAGCCAACCACAGTTAACTAGGGTTGCTGAGATAACTAGGATGGCGGCCTTGCATGGTGAGAGAACTGATCAGATGTGGATTTTTTTTTTTTTTGATGGTAGAATCAACAGCCTTTGGTGATGGTTTTATAAGGGCAGAGGAGTCATGGATGACCATAAACTTTTTGATTTGGGTAAAAGATGGACAGGACAGAATAGCTATTTATTGAGATGGAAAAGACAGTGAAAAGAACAGATTTTTTTTTTTTTTTTTTTAAATCGGTACCAGGGATTGAACTCACGACTGCCTGCTTGCAAGGCAGGCACTTATGCTGCTGAGCTAAATCCCCAGCCCCCAAAAAGAACAGATTTAAAAGGAATAATGAAGAATTTAGGCTGAGATATATTTACTTCAGGATTCCTAATAGACACAGAGGCCAGGTATGGTAATATACACCTGTAATTTCAGCACTTAGGAGGCTGAGAAAGGAGAATCGCTCCAAGTTCAAGGTCAGCCTGAGCTACATAGTGAGTTCAGTGCCAAGCCTAAACTACACAGTGAGACCCTGTCTCAAAAAACAAAACAAAACAAAGGGTCTTCTCAGAGTGCTGGGATCATACTCAGGCACTGCTGTGCCCAGTAACAGGTGGTACTTTAAACCACAAGACTAGATTTCACAATTGGGGAAAAGCTCCATGAAATCAGCCCTACGGTACTCTTACATTTATAAATTGGACAGACGCTAAAGAATTACCAATAAAAAATCAAGAATAAAAAAATCTAGATTCAGAAAGTAAATTAGTGACTACCAAAGGAAGAATGGAGTAACAGGGAGTGCTAACAGATACTAGGAATGATGAAAGTGCTCTGGAATTAAGCAGGGATTACAGCTGCACAGCCTTGTGCACATTCTACAAACCATTTTAACGTTATGACTTTTATATTAGATAAATCATAGCACAATTTCAAAGGACAGAAGCGGCAAAGGAGCCAGGTGTGGTGGCACATGCCAGTAATTCCAATACCTGAAAGCTGAGACAGAGGATCGCCATGCGTTCAAGGCCAGCCTGGGCTACATAAGAGGATCTTGTCTCAAAAGCAAAAATAAAAACAAAAATGGATCTAGTAAAAGA